GTCCAATATTGCTTACTCATTGTATTGCTGAAAGAAAGAAACCACAAAAATCAACTCAATAAAATTGGAAACATAACTAAGAGTATGCATATTGAAAACAATATCTTCATATAAAAGAAGCCAAAAAAATGCATATATTTCCATGACCCGAACAATAGGAAATATATCGGAAAAAAACTCACCAACAACAACAAGTCTATCGTTGAATAAAATATCGCTGAACAAAATATACACGCAATTGAAAACAGGGAGAAAACAAAAGGATGGGAAAAGTACGATGAAAATAAGGACAACGATTAAAATAAGGATAAAGACAAGGTGCTTGCATGAACGAAACGAAAACAACGACGTTTTCGTTCAAAAGGTAAAATGAAAATGACATAGACATGGAAATGAATAAATTATACTCACTTAAGTATTATAGTTGGAAGAAAAAAAACTAAATATACTTATTTATTTTTCTATTTCTATATTATATATTATAAATTTTTATCATCACATAAATAGAAATTGCAAAATTTTAAAAATAACGTTAAGAAAGTCTGACTATTAGTTAAATTCCATACAAAATAAGAAACTCAGGTATAAATTAAAATATAACTCCATATAAAATAATAAAATTACGTTCGACAAAACAAAAAAATAATATTAAAGTATTTGTTGTAATAACAGTTAAGAAAAAAAGAGAGGAGAAAAAAATAATGCCTCCATAATTACGGAGGCTCAAAGTTGAGCCTCCGTATTTGCGGAGGCTCAAATTGTCTAGACACCAAACTGCCTCCGTAATTAACAAATTTCATTTTTTTCTCCCTTTCTTTTTTCTTTACCAACTTTCAGCACCAAAATTTAATTTCATTTAATCAACTTAGTTTTTTTAATAGATGTGATTTCTAAAATAAATACATAAAATATAAATCATTTTTTATATATATACAAATATTATATAAATCTAATGAGTAAAAATGTAGATAAATAATAGATATATTACATATTAATTACATTTCCAATCGTAACGTTTTGATTGTTATCAAATAATGTGTGAAACGTGTTAAGATAAAATAGTCACTCACGTGATACTTCAATAATTTCTTTCTCCTCACTTTTATTTTTTGGAAGAGTAAGATCAGACTTTTTTGATAACATATTGTCCATTTCTACAACCCGTAAACCTCTTGTCAAATCTGGAGAAAAGGAAATAACATAGGAAGTACATATCCTCTAATTTAAATAGCTTCTCATGTTTTCAAAATTTACCTTAAATCACTCATCACATAAAATAGTTACATATCTTTGCTTGCAGGTGCTCAACAAAAATAAAAAATCAGGTGTCTATCTACTCTTTCCTGATTACCATACCTATTTTTTCAACACTAAATTTTATAGTTTTAACTTACATCTTGTTTATTGAGATGGACTAAATGTCAATCTTCAATTCTTTTATTAAAAATCGAACACAAATCATGAATTTCTTACCAAACTTCACGATATTGTTCTACAACGACATATAGAATATATATTTTTTAGATTACATACAAAGTTTATTTTATAGAAATGGAACTTTCATTAACAAATTTTCTAACTTGCGTATACTGCAAAATCTACCTTAAAATCTATATTAGGGCCTCCACAACGTAAATAATAGAGTTATTCTAACAAAATTTTCATTGTACTATATTGAGACAGAATGGAAGTGCCACATCGTTTCTTCAGAATCATTACTCCTCCACAAAATCATAATACCCGTCTGATTAGTTACACAAGAGTTTCTCCTCTCACATTTGAATGGATGCATTCTTAAAATCTTTCTTATACTTTTTAATATATATGTATAGATGCTTCCCAGATCCTTTGTCAATGATTGGAGACACAGTACGAGTAATTGCATATGATGGTATAATTGTCACAATACAATTAGAAAGAGATAATGGAAGAATATATTTTGCCGATAGATGGGAACAATTTTTTGACCATCATAACTTACAGGATGCTCATATTTTGATATTTGAATATAACGGAAACTCCACATTCAATATGACCATATTTGACCATTCTGGATTAGAGGTTACATATGACTCTGATGTTCCCGAAGAATACAACGCTTTACATACAGATAACCCTGCATTTGAAATAACACTAACACCTCATCACAACAGCCATCGGGAAATTGTAAGTGCCATCTTTAATATCTCATTCTACATTCATCTCTTCCGCATAAATTTGATTCAAAGATCAATAATTTATTCATTCATGGTTTTCCAGGATATACCAGGACAGTTCTCTAGATATCACTTACCAAGAGGTCTGCAAAGTGTTCAAATCCATGATTCTTTACATCACCATTGGGAACTCGCCACAAATTTGCGACCAAATGGTCTAATAAGACGTATGACTATAGGCTCGTCAGATTTTTTTAGAGAAAAAGAACTACAAATGGGCGATACATGTGTTTTCGGACTTTTGAACAGTGAACCCCCAACGTTCATCGTCTACAAAAAAGACCATGTTGGTGGAAGTTTGACACGTCTATGACATCTCTTTACTTTCTTCTAATTATTTTCATGTATTTCTATTTTGTTATTTCCACGCCCAATTCTATTTACTCTCTTATTTACCAGTTTACTCCAGAGTTTGTGTACAACAAATCAACATCAACATCGAAGTTCAACACTATACAAGAAAAATGAAAAATCAAATCATATGAAAGTAGATTTCCCCCTCATTAATCATCGCAGGAAAAACCTCTAGATATTACTGCTACTACAAACTTAAGAGAAGTTGAAAGCATTTTCCACCACTACCTGCAAACTAAAATAAGGTCAAAAGAACATGCATCAACGATCGAACAAACAAAGAGAACAAATACAATATAAGCTCAATGATTGAAGCACAAAATACAGATATCTCAAATATAATAGAAACATAAATATCATACATACACGGAGAAAAGAAAGGAAACAATGAAACCCAAAGAGAAAAAGGAGTAGCGTGTGAAAATGGAGAAAAAGAAAGAAAAATCTATTTAAAGTGGGTACATCACGGCAGCTTATATATATATATATATTTTTTTTTATTATTATTTTTTTGTCTGGACGGCCTCGTCTTGGCTCCAGACATGTAAAAAATTAAAAATAAAAAAATTAACAGACGACATCGTTTTTACTTCAAGAAAAAAAAGTTGTTACAATGTGTGGAAATGAAAAAAATTGCTTTTCTTTTTACAGTAACAACACATTGGTCTTTTTATATAGTAGTGAAACATTTAAAAGAAGGCCTTAATTTGGTCCATTAAAAATTGCATTCTAGAAAATTCCTCCCACGGCATAATTACGCGAAAACATGAGGAGGTAAATGTAATTTGACGAAACCTTACGCCCTTAACATAGAAACAAACGAGATCCCCTTGGATCGAGTGCGGAGGAGAAACGAACGTCAGAGGCAGAGGTAAACTCTCTCTCTCTAATCGACCTTCAAAATCGTCCGTCAATCCATACGATAGACTGATTTAGTTTGACATAATCGCAAATATTGGTTAAGTACTTATTTTTATTCCAGCTCGACGCGGTGTTGGTTTTTGGGGCAAGGAAGTTGAATTTCTAGCAGAGTTCAGTGCTCAGCTCCTTTTCTACTCTGGTATGTTACGGGTGATAATGTGTCATTCGCCTCTAATTTTTGCGGGTTTTCTTGGATTTCGTCCTGGTAATTATATTTGTCCCTTATTAAGGGCTCTGAACTTGAAGTTGGAATTAATTAATTTCGAATTTGAGTTTGGGATTTCCCTAATTTTTTATCTGAACCCCTATATGTCTACGCAGACCAAATTTACCCACTGGGAAACTACATACATACACACACACACATACATAAATATATATATATATATTTATGTACATGTATATGTATATGTACATATATATATATATATATACATGTATATATTATGCACACACACACATATATATATATATATGTATATATATGTATATATATAGCATCATCATCAATTTTTCGATCCTACCATAATTTAATTTGGTAATAAAAGTTATAAAAGTAGATATTTTTCAAAGTAAGTAGCTGTAAGTGGTGTATGTGGGGATTCTCCTGTGCATCCTCTTTCGAGGAAAGGGGCCTTGCCATCGGAGAACTATTGGAATTATGAGGATATTGGATTTGTAAGTTGAGAAGATTCATCCTTGCTATTTATTCTTTATTGGAATTTCCCATGAATGGTAATTGAATTGGATTCATGTTGTCGACCCCAAATTTGTTGGAAACAAGCTTATAGCATGTTTGATTCTAATTTTTCACTACAAAAAATTCATTTTTTGACCGTTACTTTCCTAAGTCAACCGTCATTTTTGGCTTCTTGTCTCGTAGATGAAACCCATTTTTCTCTCTAACGGTCAAAAAAATCAATTCTCATAATCACTACCGAACAAGCCCTTAGTTTGTTGTTATATTTTAATGTCTTATAAGAAGTCAGAGTGGAAGACTATATTTGGTGGCATGGGAACCATAAATGATTCACTTGGCCAATTTTTCTTGGTTTCATGTTTCAATTCTAAAGTCCCTATTTAAATCTGTTGCTAGTCCATCTCTCTGTCTCTCTTTTGGAGGGATGTTAATTGCACGCTGTCCTAAATGATGGAAGACTTGCTCCACTTGTGGTGTTATGGTACCTATTAGAGGCAGGGGTTGAAGTAACATTTTGATACAAATTACCTTAGCAAAAAACCGACGATACTTTCGGAGAGCAGAATAGGCGAGTAAGTCCATAGGTTTGATGTATCAACATTGACATTACAGTAGTAAGTATCAGGATCTTTGATTATCATAATGTTCTTATTTTAAGCTGGCTGTTCCTTGTGCCGACAAATATTCTTCATGCGTACATTATCATGGTTTATTGCAATTTAACAAGGCTGGTCCTGAGTAAAGTAATGAGATCAATCTCGGCCATCCTTGAAATATTTTTGCTTTCTTTCTGGCTCTCGAGAAAATCTTTGCACATAGTTTGGTTAGATGATTTGGCATTTAAATTGCTTGCGATTTTGTCTATGCTCGTGCTTTGGTGTACACAGTGTGGGCCCAGTATAACTTTTCTTTCACACACTAATTGAATAGATTATTTTTGTGCACATTGCAAACTATATTACGTCTGGGAGCATTATTAAATACAAATTGGGTTTCAACTCTTAATTCAATTAATTTAGTGGCAAGTCACATAATTTCTAGGATTTCACTTGGATTTCAAAGGAAATCTGAGTAAGGTAAATCGGTAATTCTATGACAATCTTCACTCATCTCATGACACAATGCTCTGTTTATGATAGATTCCAAGCGCTTGGACAAATATGAGCTTTGGAAACATGCATAGGGATGTAGATTGGGAGTGGGAGGAATCAGGGTGGAGTTTTTGGTGTATTTATATAATTGGAAGTTCTTGCTCCCTCTGTGAAGAGCTATTCATCTGCAAAAAATTTAGAGAGGAAGAGAAGACCCAATTTTAATTCAAATAAATTATAGCTTTGGAGCATATAAGCAATGGAGCTTGTGGAGCAACGCTCACCTTGAGGATTGCTCTCGGTTTGCTTCATACGAATTATTTTTAGCTTTTGATTTTTCTGTTGTGAAAATATATCATATCAAGACAGAAATGTAAAGGAATATATTTAACTTGGTTGTGTTTTTAATGTTGCTTCAAGTCATTTCCAACTATCAAACATATTCAAGCTGCAGTATTGCAGTGAACACGATTACTTTCAAGGGCTAAAGATGAGCGGTCGTTACTCTCGCATGATCTATGTTGGCAACCTTCCTGCAGATATAAGAGAATCAGAAATTGAAGACCTATTCTACAAGGTTTTAGTTGAATATTTAGTCTATCACTTTCTTAAATATTTTGGTTTCATTGAGTTAATGTGGAGGTGTCTGGGTGTTATTTTGAAGAGTTTCTCCTGCATTTTACCATTGTATTTGGTATCTGTCAATGTTACTTTCCTAAAGCAGAGTTGTTTAGCGACAATTTACAAATTCTTTATGCTTTTGTCATCTCTAACTATCTCTAGTGGCTAAACCCCTTTCCCAACCAGCCGAAAATGTCTTCAGGAAAGAACTTCGTAAACATGAGCACATGTGTGAGGGGACATGTAACTTAGGCCCTTGTCTGGTAGCAGTTAAAGTTGAATTAATAAGAAAAATCAGACTGTCGGGTGTTCAAATATCAATTTTTTATTCTATACCTTCTGACTCCCTTTTCAGACAATTATAGTACCATAATTCGTTGTAGATGACAATACGCAATTCTGCCCCTGTTGTCATTCACATACTATTCATATACAGTAGCAATAAGGACTAAATTGTCTTTTTGGAAACACGGCTTAAAATTTGGCAAACAAGCAGCTTTAAATCAAACATGGTGGGGCTGGGGATTTGACAGAAAAATCAATTTTTTTCCGGCAAAATTTTTCCCAGACAGGTGCTGGTGTTATCAGACAGTATTATAATTTATAACTGAAATGCTTCTCCAAATATGTGAAACCAATTTATCAGGGAAAATAGGGACCTTCAACTTTGCAGCAGCAAGTCTTGTAAGATTACATTAACTGCATCATTTCCAACCATGTAATTCTGTTATTCATTTCCTATGGCCTATGTGAATATTTGTTGATATCTTTCTTTGATGCACGTTCATAAAAATCATTAAAATGACATCCTCGATATATCCCCAATTTAGACAACCCTACCCTTGCGCTCATTTGAATACTAATTGATCAATTCATGAGCCATGTAGCATTGTAGCCTGTAGGTTCTGCTGCAAAATAGATCCTCTTTAGATATCTTTGAATGAGGTGTAGCATTACTATTTATTATCACAGTTTTTATACCATGATTGTGTTTGGGGTTTAAAGTTTGCCATGGAGTGATTGTTTTGATAATCATGGGACAAAATATTTCTGTTTCAAATGCGTATACTCTTTCTTAGTACCTGGTTCTAGCCAATGGTCACTTAAATTCTTAGTCATTTTCCCTTTCCTATTTGATCCCTAAAAAGCGCTTGCTTATTTATAGTATTTGTATGCGATTCCTGCAGTATGGTCGTATATTGGATATTGAATTGAAGATTCCACCTCGCCCTCCTTGCTATTGTTTTGTGGAGGTATTTTTTTTCTCTCTCAAATTTGCAGCTTTCTGGGCTATGTATGTACACACAGAAGCAGCACCCAGATATGCATGTTTGCTTGTCCTTGAATTTCTTGAATGCTGGAGGATATAATCTGTCATCTGACTTTTTTTTGAATTTTAACCACGTTTAGTTTGAGAGTGCTCGGGATGCAGAAGATGCAATCAGGGGCAGAGATGGCTATAACTTTGATGGTTGTCGACTGAGGGTGAGGACATTTGGTGCAAAGTAGCAATTTTTTATTCAGATAGAACTGGTTTTTGGTTATATGATGCAGAGAAAGTCTATTTGAGGCATAGAAGACACTAGAATTTATTCTGGTTCTCTTTTTTCCCTTTATTTTCAATTATTGTAATTTTAAAACAATTTAGGTCGATTGTGACATGTCTATAATATAGGACAGAGTAAACCCTAGATTGTTATTGAATAAAAACTAAGAACTCTCTCTCTCTCTCTCTCTCTCTGTTTCTCTCCCCCCCTCTCTAACTCCTTTTCACTTATTTTCCCTGCTTTCTACTGCAAATTTGGTGCTTGGTAATTGTGTTCCATTTGTTGGATCCTGGTCCTCATTATACATTCTCCAGTCTTTTCCTTGTCATCGATTTTCTTATGAAATTCATCTCCTTGTTAATTTAGGTTGAGCTTGCACATGGTGGCAGAGGGCCACCACATTCAAGTGATCGTCGCGGTGGTTATGGCGGCCGTGACAGTGGCGGAAGCCGATTTGGTCCTTCTCGCCATTCTGAATATCGAGGTGCTGCCAAACCTATCAATTGATGCTTACAGATCTTGATGTATGCTTAGGCTTTATTTTCACTGTAAGATTGTTTCAGTGTCTTTATCTTAAAATGTCTACTTGCATACAGTTATTATTCGGGGGCTGCCATCTTCTGCTTCTTGGCAAGATTTGAAGGTAAGGGGAATTGTTGAGTGAGAACTTTGTTCCTTTTATTGTTTCTGCAACTGCAGCATTTATTATGGGTTTCAGGATCACATGCGAAAAGCTGGGGATGTTTGTTTTGCTGAAGTTTCCCGTGACAGTGATGGTAAGTTATTTTACTCAACACCAATTTTTTGTTTACTTTAGGGATACTAAAGGGGTAAATGCGAGACATTAATGTGCTATGATGCACTGACACTCCTACTAAGATATCATGTCTTTGTCCCACACGTCATGTCCGAATCCAACATCCCAAAACTCCTCGGACACCCGATGGCATGTATCCAACAAGCCACGGGACCTTGTCCCGATTCTTATATATTTTTTAAAATTACTTGATATTTGGGGGATGCTTTAGAGACACCATGGCAAGTGCCTGACATGTAATGTGCCGTGTCTTGTATAAAAAAGTATAAAAGAAATATGTAATATATAAGTTAAAATTTGAAGAATTTAAATCAACACGTCCCTAATGTGTCTGTGTCCGACCTTTTTGAAAAATCATGTGTCGACGTTTCCATATCATGTCCTACACGCATTTACATGTCCGTGACAGTGCAACCTTTCTAATGGGGTTGATGAACATTTGCTATTGTATTCAGGAACCTTTGGCATGGTTGACTATACTAATTACGAAGACATGAAATATGCTGTAAGTCATCGTACTCATCTTTGAATTGTTTAACCGTTTGTGCATCCATGAATTGTTCCAATCTAGTTGGTAATGTGTTTTTGTCTTGCTTAGATCCGGAAACTTGATGATAGCGAGTTTAAGAATCCTTGGACCAGAAGTTATATCCGGGTATTTTTCAAATTTTTTCTATTCTTTCTATGTTTATCTTTTCTTTTTGAGGGATTGAATTTCAAGAAGCCATTTCTCCTCAACCAAAAAAGGCCCAAGATAGGCACTTGGAGTTCAGTTTTTTATATTATGTTAGGAATTAAATTTGAGCCTCTCTAACCTACAAATTGGTGCAACCTAAGTATATGCTTCTTGGAGGGATTTAAATCTTACAAGATATTAATTCGTAGTACTGAACTCTAAGAATTCATTAAATAATATAATTATGAAAGCAACTACCTTGTGAAATAATAAACTCCATTTCCTTTGTAAATCGATGAATTCAGGTGAAGGAATACAAGCGCAGTCCATCAAGAAGCCCAGGTAGGAGCCGCAGTAGAAGCAGAAGTCCTAGAAGGAACAGAAGGTATTTTTTTAGTTTGAAGTATATTTGCTCGATCTCTAGGGTAGACTTTATTTGTTGACCCAAGTAATATGTTCCTTGTGCGGCAGGTCAATGGATCGATCTTTTTCCAGATCACCATCAAAATCTCCTGTTAAGCCGTCTAGGTATTCGAGAATGAACGTCTCTTCTAATTTTATATGCTTTGTGGTTATAAATATACTGCACTAATCAGTAATTGGTTCTTTGCTTGCTTAAATGTGCAGAGCCAGATCAAGGTCAATGTCAAGGTCAAGATCAAGATCAAGATCAATGCCAAGATCGGCATCCCCTCTCCAGGTAAACTGTTCGTGTTCCAACCAAAAGAATATGAACAAGTGTGTATGCAGAGATGTTAAAATGAGCAATTTGATGCCTAGATTTTTGGATTTAACTTGTTTTTTATAAAGAATTTTAGTGGAAAAATAATTCAAAAACATCCAGCAAGGGCTCGGTTAGTGGGCTGTGGACCTGGACAATCCTGGGATTTGGGTTTTTCATGGTTGGGATGGACAGGTTACCGCCCCCCTGTTTTGACATCTCTACATGCATGAGTTTGCATCCCATTCCTACAATTGGAAGTGGGCTCTTTCATTAATTAACTGTTCAGCCAATCTGCCAAATAGATCTAGGGAATGATCTTCACGGATAGAAAAGATTGCAGTCAGTTTGATAATGATCCGAGTGTTATAATATTACTGACTTCAGGATACGTGGCTTCAAGTTTTGTTCATTTAATTTTTTTGGGTTTCGGGGTTGACTCTGTTTACAAATCTCTGCCATGTTAATTTCATTGCAGGCAAGATCTGGAAGTGCTTAATTCTGTTGCAAATATGCTATGCACTTAATGGTACCGTGAGCAGACGGTTCCTTAGCATATGAATGATATGAGTCGAGCAAGGAAAGTTGACTGGATAATGTCAAATTATAAGATAGATGTTCTTTTCTTATATTCTATTAATGGGCTTGTGGATCTAACTAGGATTGCGAGCATTCGATAAATGTCTTTTTGGAAGCTGAGTCCGTTAATTTTTATTTGCGTCGTTGAGCAGGATTTTAATCTTTATTATGGCATTCTGTTGAATTGGATTTTTGTTGTCAAGATGCTGTCGTTTTCTGGAATCAGATATTGCGTTTGAATGTGTTTCTCTTCACGAGCCACATTTTTTATTGAGTTTTTAATATTTTGACGACGTGAAGTAGTGTTGAACAGGCTGGCTGGGAAGCAAGTTCCCTAGACTACTGCACACACAAACCTGGGCTGCCTTGGGTTTTGTGGTGGACCGGGCCAATCCCTGCCTACGGATTTTCTTTTAGGCCCATCTCAAGGTGGGCTACGCTTGTAGCCATTGCCTAATGGTTCACTGACAGTTGACACATCGTTGCAATGGAAAATTCTAGTACAGGAATTTTTTTCACAAATTTTGTACAGCTATCTTTCTGTAATTGGCTATTGCCAAGAAACATACATTTAGCTGTCCATAAGAGTGCCCAAAATACTTAGCTAGCATTTTTTTGACTTTCAAAACCAATTTCTCACCCAATTTATTAAAAAATAAATAAAAATCACCAAAAACCAAAAATTGAAATTAAAACACTAGGTATATTTCGCTTTCATCGTTTCCTATCTCCCTCTCTTGACATTGGAGACTCGATCCAACCCAAGAAAATCCTCCTCCACTTGAAATATTTGAATGTCAATCTCATTGGTCTCATACCAAATGCCATGGCAATTAGATCCAAATCTCGGGTTTCCTTTTGAGCCACACTCTTTCATGTCGTCGGAGTACAAAAATTTGGTATCTCGATGATGGTATCATTAATGTCCTCTCTTCATAAATTGGTTTTGTTTCTTTTTGTGGGGATAACAATAATTTATTTATTTATTTATTTATTATTGTTATTTATTTATTTATATTTATTTTTGGGTTTCAGTTTCACGAGTTTTGAAGTATATGAAGTTTTACATTATGCGTTGTTTGGATTTTTTTTTTTTTAAATTTTTTAAAATTTTTTATACGGGTGTTAATTGACGACAGTAAGGAAGTTTACCATCGTTCTATCGGTACAATTTGTATGCTACAGTATTGGGACATATTTCATGGGTGCATTTTGTATTATATAACTTATTGATTGTATGCATCTTGATAATGCTGTTAATCCAACTGAGCCTTGTGACATTAATGATTGTTTTCTGGTTGTGCTACAAATTTTTTCTGGGTTGAAAAACCTGTTATTCTATATATTAGAAATAACTTTGAAAACCACCAGGTTCAAAATCTGGCAGTGCCTACTTAGAGAATGGGTAAAATTTGATTGAACTTAGTTTGGAGTTTATGAACTTAATTTTATTTCTCAAACCTCTTTGCTGCCTAATAAAGAAATTTTTCATAACTTGGAGTGCATTAATCGATGGCTGGAAAGAATAAGGGTATTTGTCATAGTTGTTGACAAACTGAGCATCAATTATATGACTGTCCAAAAAAACAAAAAAACAATTATATTCAAACTGTTTACAGGGAATTGTGAAAATGATGGAGTGGAGAAGAAGGCGGAAAATATAAGCTGAATATTCTTTCGTTGTACTAAAGTTTGTGGATATTTTGACTGGAATAACAATGAAGTCCTAGAAGAAGAAACCCTTGCCATTTGATGGACACTCTAGTAATTTTTGTGATGGAATGCAATCAAGCAACATTGGGACGTCTCGAAATCAAGCTACATCACGAATTGACCACCTATTGAAAAGTGTTGTTGAATTAAAGATAGAAGAGGATGTGGAGATATCATTTAACATAACTATAAGAAAGGGAAATCGGAAGATAACGGGAAGGGAGTGTAAGGAGTAAAATTGACGTTTATGTTTGTAACACTTGTATAATTGTACCTATCGATCAAACTTATGTTATCGGATATTTCAATTAAACTACGTGTGTTAATTTTGAGGCACTAACCATATGATTATATAATAAATTGGTTTTGAAAGTCAAAAAAATGCCAGCGAAGCATTTTGGACATCATAATGTGCCTGTAGCATTATCCATGAGCCTCTAATAAAAAATCACAAGAATAATAAATAGAGTTTTAATAGAGATGTATCGTTGTCACGTAACAATTAATTTCTTGGTTCAAAGTCGAATGAGGTGTCATGCACTTCAATGTGTTGGATAATGAAACAGGTGATCAACTGCTACCCAGACGATGATGCATTTTAGAATACATTACTCAAAAGCACAATATGTATGTTTATTCATCTCGTCGAACTCGATGAAATGTTTATTCTTCCTACTCTTCCAAACATTCATAATTGGTGCTTGGGTGATAAATAAAAATCTAGATGTTTTGAAGTTAAATCTTTTTGGGGGTTCCAGGCAGCATAGTGTGTTATCGTGAATTATTGAGGTTTTCAAAAATTTTGAAATGAATTTGCAATTGAAGGTAGATGATTCGGGTTTAAATTTGTGAAATGAAACAGTTGCATTTATTATTTGAAATAGGTATTCAATAAAAAAAATATTTGCCCTTTTCAGTATTTTTCGTACGAAATTAATGTTGTATTAGTATTTTTTATTTCATATAAAGAAATCACTATAATTCAATTTCCATTTGCATTTACAAAGTAATGTACATACCTTAGGCTTATGTTTGGTCTTCATTATTACAAAAAAAATATATATATTTTTCTTATTTTTAATCATACATTCTTCAATAAAATAATATTATACGTAAATTCAATTTTTTAATCATATATTTTTCAAAAAATCAAAATTTCAAAATATATCTTTTCTGAAAATTATTTTTAATGGAGCCCAAGCACAGGGGCCTAATTTCCCCTTAAAAAACCTATAAAACCCAATAATAAGCCCACCAAAAAGAATCAGTCCAATGTTGTCTACCCTAGTTTTTGGTTCATATATATTCTCCTCTTCACTCCCACCGCGGCCACAATTTTCGATTATACTAGCATCTTGCAGGTATGTTTCTCTCACTAAAACCTCAGTTTTTCTTCAATTCTTCTCGCTGTAATTTGATTTTTCAGTACTGATTTAGATTAAATAGTTTCGATCTTTCATTTTGGTATTTTGCATTTTGTGTAGATCACAAGGATTTGAAGTCAAATGACGGTTGGAGAGGTCGCCTGCACCTACGCTTGCTTGATACTTCACGACGATGGCATCCCCGTCAATGTAAGTTTTCTTTTAACACCATACTATACGCAAAGATGTAATTTATATGCATCAAAATAGTTTTGGTATTGAACTGTAGGTGTTTATTTTTGTGTTTAGGCTGAGAAAATTGCGACACTTGTGAAAGCGGCTAATGTGACAGTGGAATCCTACTGGCCGAGTCTTTTTGCTAAACTCTGCGAGAAGAGGAACATTGAGGACCTTGTTACGAACGTTGGCGCTGGTGGAGGTGGTGCTGCCGTTGCTGTTGCTGCTCCTGCCGGTGGTGCTGCTGGTGGTGCCGCCGCCGCAGCCGCACCTGCTTCCGAGGAGAAGAAGGTAGAAATATGTGCATCTGGTCATCTTAAAATGTATTTAAATGTACTAATTCTATATTATTCTAGATATCATTTGTACACACTCATTTTATTGATTTTAGATTCCATATATTGAAATATCTAATCTCTGACTGATTGATTTTTCTTTTGGGGTAGGAGGAGCCAAAGGAGGAGAGCGATGACGACATGGGATTCAGCTTGTTTGATTAGAAGAATCTCTCTGAATGTTGGAAAACTTAGGTGATTCATAATTTGAGATTTTGATTCGTTATAGCTTTTATAATGATTAAATGTTGGGAGTTTGAAAGTTATGCAGTCTTATTATATTTATAAATCCTCAGTTTGAAAGCTTAATCCCCTATGACATATAATTAGATCAGGTGCTCAAGCCACTGAATGATCGAATGAGGATTAGACCAACTTTGATCTAACAGTTCTCTTTACTAATCTGCATTATTGGGTGCCTATTGCTATATATTTATTTTGACTAAACTTTAATTGTAAATTATATTTTATTTATTGAGAACCTTAGTTTCATAAATTATAGTAGTAAAATATGCATTAAGATTACTATGCTTAACTCTATTTTCACTTTGATGTACCAACAAAGAAATTTTATAACAATCAAATGAATTTTCCAAACATTTCACTTCTTGAAATTCAAGAAATTGGTAAATCATTGCTGAAGTAAGCCCAGATTCGCACCTGAATTTGATTGCATTCACTGTTATTGAGACAATTGTTCGTTCTTATTACTTGTTTTTGGGTTCATCATGTAATGTAAATTCTGAATTCTTCGCATATAATTAGTACAATATTCTTTATTTGGTGGTTCTCTTATAATTTGTCGGTGTAAAGGTAACTTAAAAATTAGTCCGACTGACTTTGAAGTATAAATTATAATTCAGCATGCTCTAAGATTTAAGTAGAATCTGTATGTTCTAAGGATTACAATAGTTTTGGACAGAAATTACCAATTAATTGGTCAAGATTTTCGTTAAAAAAAAAGTTTTTTGTTCAATTTTCTGGAGAAATACATGAAATTGACCCAAATAAGAGAGGTCATTTTCCAAAATGGCCCTTGACTTATCCAAACGTTTGAAACTACCTAAAAGAACCTTAAACAAATATTAAAAACAACCTATTTCATTGTAAAAATCTTCTATTTAAGTCCTTAAAAAATTAACAAGTAATTTTTCAAAAAATTTGAAAGAATTATTAATAAATAATTATAAAATGAAAAAAAAACTCAAATATAAGATAGGACCATATAATATAAAAAAGGTTGTTAAAAATAAAAAAGATATTAAGTTTGAAAAAGAAATTTATAAGATAGGATATCAAGAACAATTATATGCATCAAAAGAAATATTAAAATGTTTCAAAGAAAATTTATTAGAAAATAGGAGTGGGCATTTTTTCTCGGAACCGGACTAGAACCATTTAGAACCGGCCTGTTCGGTTTCGGTTCTCCTAAAAAATAATTTGATTTCGGGACAAATTATTAAGAACCGATCGGTTTCGGTCCGATTCTTGGTTCTAGTATGGGAGCCGCGGGGAACCGAACGGTTCTCATAGAATTTTTTTAGTGGGCATTTTTTTTATTTTTTTTTGGTAAAATATAAGACTTACTCTCCAATTTGTCCCAGAACCAAATTGGTAATATATATGACTTCCTCTTAAAGTGAAAAGAAACTTACATCAAAATAAAACAAAATTAAAAAAAAAATTGTAAAGGCAGTGACATATGGAAATGAAACGAATGTTTATGTATATAGTTCATATGTCACTTTTTAATTAAATAATTGAGAAAAATACTGAATTGTGATTACGGTTCAAGAAAATGTTAAAAAGGGACCCTTAGTTGGCATATTTTTCAGTAAAATATATGACTTACTCTCCAAACACTTTTATTTTGTTTTCATTTTGATGAAAGTTTGTTTAATAATTGAAGTACTAGACGATTTATATAAGTTAATATTTGTTTGATAACAGTAACTTATATTATTTGCATATTGTTTTAAAATTTGTATACTTAGTTTTCTTTTAATCTTTGTATAATATGTTCGGTTCTTATATATTTTTTTAAAAGTATCACATTGGTAGTTTCTTTAGATTTCTTATTAGTAAACATTTTATTTTGACATCTTCATGTAAAGAACCGGACCAGACCGAACCGGAACCGATTGATTCGGTTCCGGTTCGGTTCCATTTCTAAAATTCTCATTGGTATTCGGTTTGGTTCCTTTTAGAACCAGACCGAACCGGACCGCACCCACTCCTATTAGAAAATTTTGGTAAAGGAATTGTAAGATCAATAATCATAAAAGATATACAAGATATCATAGATAAATTAGAAAAAAGGAAAAAAAATATCTCAAAATACAATATACCTTTTAGAACAGACATAGATATGATAACAGATATTGATATTATAAATTTTCAGACATTACTAGACTTTGAAGAATTATTTAAAAATTTATGAGAAGACCAATAAAAAATAGATTACTACAAGCATATAAAAAATTAGTTTTTAACCTTACATTAAGATTTTATATACGCTTAATAACAAATAAATTAACTAAAACAAAAATAAAAGAATTTTTAGAATATTAGAATTTTAGATTTGTGATTATTAGATTATTAGATTTTTGTTTGCTCATAGTAGTATCATCCTGTTGGTATCAGAGCCAGAGAGATTATGAGAAAATATATAAAAATAAATTCCCTAAAAGATATTGAAAATAAATAAAATTAATCATTGAAAAGATAAAGAAAGACTCAAAAGTTTATGATTTTAGAGAAAAAATGTTAGGTAAACAGAAAATTGAAGAAAATCAAGACAAAGAAAATGAATGAAGAATTAGATCTACTTATAGATAATTTTGATCATTTAAGTCTAGAAAGTATAGATGATGAATATCAAATTTTAATGAATACTGGAGGAGGACTTAATCCCGTATGAACCTCTAAATAAGAATCAATAGATCCAGATGAAAGTTATGCTCCGATGTATAATAAATCATATAGACAATTTTATGATAAAATAAGAGATAAACAACCGTCTAAAGGAAATAAATATAGTAATAGATTTGAATTAAATAATAATTATGTTAAATCTGTTAATCATGGAGGAACAAAATTAGACTTAGATTGCAAAATAGACACTAAGAAAGCCTTAACGACATGGGCAAACTTAATGATATTATTCTTTTTATATAATAAAGATGATACATGGGAAAATATTGAAAGAAGAATAGATTTTTTAATTGCATCTTTTGAAGGAAATGTTAAAAATTGGTGGGAAGGAATTAGTAGTGATACAAAATCATTAATAAAAAGAAATGTACAAATAGAAATAATAAAGTCAGATAAACTAGGAATAGAAAGATTAGTAGAATATATTGCAGATGAATTCTTAGGAGAAAATTTGTTAAGAAATTATGAAGAAGAAGCAATATGGGAAAAAGATAATGCAAGAGTTAATTAATTTAACAATTTGTGATATGTGTAAAATTAAAGAATATACTTGTGAATTCAAGAATTACTATTATACTCAATTTTATAGTAATGAGAATTAAGAAGTATATCAAGATATGTATTATAATAAATTATCAGGATCATGGGGAATATATTTTAAAATAGAATTTGAAAAATACATTAAAGAAAATATAGGAATACTTAGAACACCGGGATCAAAAATAAAATTCTTGTTTGAAAGACTTGCGTATATATGTCAACAAAGACAATTATTGAAAAAATCAGAAAAATTAACTAGAATATGTTGTGAAGATATAGAAAAACCTACAAGATGGGGATGTAATTCTGAAAAAAGAAATAAAAGAAAGTATAAAAACAGAAAGTTTAAAAAATATAGAAACTTTAAGAAAAAATATATAAAACCTGAAAGGAAATATTATAAAAGAAAAAATAATATACAGAAAAATAAACCTTATAAGAAAGATAAAAAACAATGTAAGTGTTGGAATTGTAGAGAAATAGGCCATACAAGTCCTGATTACACAAAGAAAAAAGTGAGAATATTACAAAAGGATTATTTTGAAATAAAAAGTGAATTAAGTGAAATATAAGATATTGAACATTATAATAATCAGAAAATATTTATAAGTGAAGCAGATTCAGAAGATAATGGATCAGAATCTGAATAGAGAAATTGAAGAAATAGAAAATAATAACATAGAAATCTAAGAATACGAGGGAATAGAAGGTTATGGATTAAAAGTAACTTTTGATAATAATAAATTTAAGAAAATACAAAAGCTATCTTTAGATTTGAAAATAGGAAAATGGGAAATTCTAGATAGAATATGGAGAAGAGAAAGAATAGCAATAAATGAATACCATAAGATTGAAAAAATTATAGATGTTGGGACTACTCAAGGAACACATAAGATAAACCTTTTAACAAAAAGTACAGTATCAGAATTATTATTAAAAATAAGTAAAAAATATAGTGAAAAGATTCAATATGTTTATTTAGCAGGAATACAAATAATGTTTAAATCCTTATTTAGGGAAGGAATAGATTCACCATTAACTATAAGTTTACATGATAGAAGAATTATAAATCTTGAAAATGGTCATTTAGGAACTATAGAAGGAAATTTAGCATATCAAAAGTTAATATTTACTTGTTACCTAAAATATTGTGTCTCATTGAAAGACAAAAACTTTAATGAAGTCTTAAGATTACATTTCAAATTACATAGAAATGATATAATGGAACCAGGAGACCAAATTATGACTATGGAATATAGGGCATTTTATACATTTACTAATTCTAATTATGGGAATATTTATTTTAATAAATCATACATAGAAATTCATAAGGAATGTAAGGATATTAGTAAAATAGTGGAACCAAACAAACAAATAAATCTTATTCCAAAAGAATATGAATTTAATATAATAAAAAAAAGCCTGAAATAACAGAGTTAAGAGAAGAAGAAGATTATAAAATAACATTTCACAATGGAAGGTTGATAAAAAAATCAAAAAAAGTCTTAGACCACGTAATAAAAAAGAATATTTGGGAGAAACTAGTGGTATAAAAGAAATAAAATTTCATGGAAATATTGGAAATATGAAAATAGAAGGAAAATATTTTAACGGTAAAAGGTATATAAAAGGACCAAATATATTGATAGATACAGGAGCTGGTGAATGTCATATGGCTGCAAATAAAAATAAAGGATTATTGACTTACAAGATAGAACCATATGAATACAGGAATTTTGATGGACAACTATATATTACAGAATTAAGGTAAAGGTACCAATAAAAATAGGTGGGATTGATTTTTTAGTACCATGTTATTTGGATGAAAGTATGAATATTGAACCTCATATATTATTAGGAATGAGTTTCTTAAATGAATTAAAAGATTATAGTATAAAAAGAGAAGGGTTATATATAACTCATAAAAG